TATATTTATTTATTCTAAAATATATTTTAAATCCGTCACCCTTTTTAATTTCAGTTTGTCAGTCTCCAAATTTTATTCATTTTTTGGGTGTTAAATACAATTGTTTAAGTTAGCAAAAGAATAATTTGGGTTTTGGCATCTTTTTATCCCATCTATTCTTCACAACAATCTCCATCTAAAAGCAAAGCTTTGCTTCATCACGAAACCGTTAGATTCCAATCTGTCCTGGTCTAATAATGACTTTTTTTATTATAAATACTTAATGAGAAAATAAGTATTTAAATCATATTCTTTTTTATTTTAGTATTTAAAGTATTTTTCATTTAAATTAAGTATTTAATGTTTCCGATTTTATTATTTTAAGTGTATAGTCCATCGCGGTCATTAAAAAAACTGTTATACTACACATGTCGTATTTATATTTTTTTTTGAATTTTAGATAATAATATTCTTAAGTTTTTTAAATAAAAATTCGAAAAAATTACAAACATAATATGTATCATATAATTGTTTCTTTAATGGTAAACACTTAAAAATGTAAAGGCGAAAATGTTAGACACCTATTTTGAACGAAATATTTTTAGACTTATAAAAATTTAAAAATTTTATTTAGGTATTTAAAACGTAACGTCTGACACATATTTTTAACGAAAATTTATTTAAACACTAACTTTAAATACAATTTAGACACTTATTTTTGCATTAAACCATTAATTTAATAAATCTTTCTTATAACAATTTGATTGGAAGAAAAACAACTTGTGATGTTATGCAATTAAAATCCATATTATAAATATTGATAGTGACCAACATAAGATTTAAGACGAATTTTTTAAAATTTTAGAAAAAAAGAAATTTTATAAAATTTGAAGAATAAAATCAATTATTAATAAAAATATTTAAAATATAAATAATTTAAATATTTTAGATAGAGAACCCCCAACCGCTCTCTTAATTCATCTCGGGATACAAATATATTTAAAATGTAGTTGTTTAAATATATTTTTTTTCGAATCATTTGGGTCCTATGGACCCTCATTGACAACATTGCCCCTTGTCTCATAAGTATCACGAGTATAAGTATTTATTGTTAAATAGTTGGAAATTATGTTTGAATAAATATTATCTTATATTTATTCTAAATTAACAGGAAAAAAAGAAGGTAGGTTCAAGGTCAGTTTGTGTTATAATTCCTCTTATTTAAAAGTTTAGACTTTGACAGTATATAGATGTATAAAAAAATAGGCATAATGTTGAAAGGTTTTTTACATTTTATTAAATAATTACTTTAATATTTTATTTTAAGGTAAAAATTATCTTTAATGTTTAATTAAATAGTTACTTTAATTCTTAATTTATTTATTTTTTGCATTTTGATTTTAAAGTCTTATTTTAAGATAAAAATGTCTCTATTTTAGAGTGTTTATAGTTGTTGACTAACAATTTTCTTCACAGAATAAACTTTTAATCCTAAAAATATTTAATTAAATGTGAAAAGTATTTTTCATCATTATGGCAAAAATATATGGACGTTAAAAGGAGATGTCAAAAAAGATGTTGAAATTGGGGAAAAATATTTGTTAATTATGTTTAAATTTTTAAATAATCTAAAATGATTACGAGGTAATACGTGTTCAACAAAATTTTAATCAATTGATAACGTATACACATTTTACAAACATAACTATTCAAACTCAAAATTTCTAAAATATATATATAATATTACTTTTTATTACCAAAAATATTAATAAATTCTAAAAATAAAAAACATATATGAATTGGTTTTTGAAAAGCTTAGGGTTAGAAAGAAAGGTGAGGTGGTGGCCTCAAATGTAAAAGTCATAATCCAAGAATGACACGTCTGGTAGTTAAGAGGACTCATCGTTATGTGTTTGGTCCAAAAAGTCGTCCACATAAACACAATCAAGTCCTTTCACCCTCATCTGTTGTTGCTTCTCGTCTTATCTATTTTTCACTTCACCATCTCCTATTTGCCATTTGTTTTACCACCTTCCTGTTGATAAACATCTCGTCACAAACCTAGGTGACAGAGTTTGGAGGCAAACTTAAAATTTTAAATAAATTAAAGGTTTAAATTAAATTTTAAAAATTTTGAAGGATTCAGTTTATTTTTTTCCAAAAAACTTAGGATCCAACTATAATTTTTAAATTTTTGAGAGACTTAATGAAAAATTTTAAAAATTATGGGAGGTATTTTAATTAAGAACGTTAAAAAAATTGAAAATTTATCTTGAATTTCTAAAAATTTAAAGGGCAAATTGAATGTTTGAAAATTTTTAAAGAGATTAAAAAAATTTAAATTTTAGGGGGACATAGGCCCTCTAACCTAGCTTATGTTCCATCTCTGTAAACATCATTGGCGAATTCATACGAAAATTTAAATTTTTTTGATTAATTATTTTTTATTAATTATATTTATCTTAAAATTTTATTTATATTTATCTTATATAAAATTTTATATTATATATATATATATATATATATATATATATACACATAATTTGAAATATTTTTTAAATCTGTTACTTAGGAACATTATTTTGCCTAACATTATGCAAATGCGACGCGTGAAAATTGGCGGCCATTATTACACTGTGTATGAACTTGATTTTTGTGGAAATTAGTAGTAGTCAAAGCAAGATCAAAAATGAAGACTCAATTTTCAATTTATGAAGTCTGTCAGTCAACCTATTTTATCTCAATAATTGAACTTCAATTATTCCATTCCAGGTCTAATTTCTTCATAGTTGGAAGGTGAATATAACTTGAACTTTAAATAAGAAAATATCAATGACTTAATTATAAAAATATTAATACTTTTATTATAATTTAATTATTTGTTTGTTGACGTTAAAATAATAGTGATGATTTTTTTAATTTATTATTATAATCTTGAAATTTCAATTAATCATGCAAAATGATAGACTTAAATATTAATAAAGTGCTTTAGTATGTTTTAAATAAATATGTTCAAAATAATAATAATAATTAGTTGGTCTGGTGAGTTAAGACACTGAATTTCTTAAAAAAAATTAAGATTATGACATTATGACGAGTAAATTGATTTGTGAATGTAAATTCTATTTTTTATAGTATCTAATCGAAATTAATTAATCAATAAATTAGATATAAATGATTATAAAATGTAAGTATAAAACATTTATACTAGCGGGTTAATTGAGTAGTAAGTAACTTGATATTTCTTAAATAAATTTGAGTACATGTCAATGCATATGCAGAAAATCACTATAGAACGATTCATCGATTAAAACTGATGTGCACCTTGAATCAATTTGAATTAATCGAAATTTTGGAGAGATACTTTTGGTAACATGTGAACACGAGAAAGTTAGGCAGGGAGGTGGGTAAAAGACAAATGAAGAGGTACGTTTGAGAGATATTGTTTGCTAAGGCCAACTATTTTAATGGCCGTTAGCATTAACCGGAACGCGGCTATCGGCTACTCCTTGTATTTTTATTCTCATTTTGATTTTAGATAATTACAAGAATATACTAATTAATTTCATTTTTTTTCGAGAAACCCTAATTGTATTATTATTTCCAGACCCCAAAATTTCAAGCTACTAACCTTATCTAAATATTTATAATTAATTTTAATATTAATATTTTTGTATTTTAGTTGCAGGTTTTCAACCTTGTTTGAAGTCAGCAAAATTGAGTCCGTTAGAATCCAAGTCAATAATTACATCCGCTCTCTCAATTCTTTTTATTTTCATTTTGATTTTTCAGAATCCACAGATTAATTCCAATAATTATAGATAATTTACTACATCTTGTCTGAAATTCAACACAATTTTCAAACCTTAATCCGTGATTTTCTATATAAGTTTAAGCATCTTTTATATTTACGTATATTTGATTTATTAATCGACTAAAATATTACAGAGGCAAATGTAATTCTTTCAACTCAATTTGTTATATTCACAAATGTTAGAATTTAAACTTTTAGACTTACTTTAGAGATCTAGTATCTCATCACCAACTCGTTGTTGGTATAAATTTAAATGGTAAATAATACTAATCGATACCAAACAAAAAACATATTTAAAATGTGAATCAAACTTTGAATACATACGTATTTATTACAAGAATAACTTACATTTAATATCTCTTTTAAATTTTAATGACATATTCTGAGTCCTTAAATCAACATCCAATGTCAAATACGACATTTAAAAACGTTAATATTTTTTTAAAAAATAAAAACGTTAATTTGAGACTGTACCAAAAGGTTACCAAGTTCAAAAAGGTAAAACACAAATAAATAAAAAACATCGGATCCAACATACATGAAAAGAAAACATTTATATTAATAGTGTTGGTTCAAGTGATAAGCAACTTAATATAGTTTAAGTAAATTTTGAATTTGAATCTTTGTGAGTCGGTTCAAATTATAAGACAGAGATTTAAGAATCGAAGGAAAAGAATAAAAAAAGAAGAAAAAGAAAAGAAGACATCTTTCACTCCCACAACACGGGCGAACACTTTGATTCAATTCTAAAATCATACGGAATGTTTGATGTTCAAGAAATGAATTGTAGAACTTGCTAAATTTATGTCATTAGAGGCTAGATCCCCGTCACACCATATCCATCAGAAACGTTCATTTCGCCACTTAAAAGCATAAAAAAAGGAACTTTGCTTGCATCTGATACTCGCCATCCATCACATGTGGAGGGTCCATCAAAATGTTTCCTAATTTCGTGTGTTACTCTCTTTCTAGGGGAAAGTTGGCAGTACCCAGAACTCAGCACCGCAAAGATACAGATTTGTTCTTCTTCTTGTTGTCACAATGGATGGTTTACATGTAATACAAAATTTCCCAAATGCCTAAATCCGTGGGGACCAGATAAACCAAGGCCATCCATTGTGCCCAAAAACAACACACTTGCCAATAATGCCGGTCCCCAGTCCACAACCAAGCCTATATATGCTTATCATCTCTTAAACACCCTCTAAAACCCAGTCTTGTTTACTTTCCCCTTCCCTTTCTTTGACCTTTGCTTCATAGTAGTAAACAATTTCAGCTTGAGAAATGGCCAGAGAGATGCAGAAAAGCAGCATGTTCATTGAGCAAAACACTGCAGACTATGAAAATGGTGATGCCCAAATGAACTTGGATGATGATGGTCGAAAAAAAAGAACTGGTATAGCATCTTCTTCTTCATTCTGTTTCTTTTTTTCATTCACTATTATTATTATTATACTTGGATGTGACCTTGGGTTATTTTGAAGGGACATGGGTGACTGCAAGTGCTCATATTATCACTGCTGTGATTGGGTCTGGGGTGTTATCTCTTGCCTGGGCGATTGCTCAGTTGGGTTGGGTGGCTGGACCGGCGGTTCTCATGATTTTCTCCTTCATCACCTATTTCACCTCCACCCTTCTTGCTGATTGCTATAGGGCTCCCGACCCGGTTCATGGAAAAAGAAATTACACCTACATGGATGTTGTTAGAGCTTATTTGGGTAATATAAACTGTTCAAGTATACATTTTCATGGCAAAAAAAATCTGGGTTTTTATGAGGATGATTAATGAAACATCAATGGTTCAGGGGGGAGAAAAGTTAAGCTTTGTGGATTGGCTCAGTATGCAAACCTTCTTGGAGTAACCATTGGCTACACAATCACTGCATCAATTAGTATGGTGTAAGTAAAAACAAGTTAAAGTTTGCAACTTTGAACTGAGAATGAATGGATTAATTGTTGGGTTTTTGGTACTCAGGGCGGTGAAAAGGTCAAATTGCTTCCACAAACATGGGCATGAGGCTAAGTGCCAAACATCAAACAACCCATTCATGATCATCTTCGGATGCATCCAAATCATCCTCAGCCAAATCCCAAACTTCCACGAGCTTTCATGGCTCTCAATCCTTGCTGCCATCATGTCCTTCGCTTATTCATCCATTGGCCTTGGACTCTCCATTGCCAAAGTTGCAGGTAACAAAACAGTCCATCCAAATTCATTAATTGAATTTCATTTCGTTTTTGGCTGATGTGAAATCAAAATCAAGGTGGGACGGGACATGTGAAGACGACAAGCTTAACGGGAGTGACAGTAGGGGTTGACGTGTCCGCCTCTGAAAAGGTTTGGAGTACATTCCAAGCCATTGGGGACATTGCCTTTGCCTATGCTTTCTCCACCGTCCTCGTCGAGATTCAGGCAAGTAAATATACACGTACATATTATCATATATATACACATGGATCTCTTTGATATGCACAGACAAACCTAAACTTTTATGTTAGGTAAATGAACTTTTAAAATTTAAATAAAAGATACGAATAAAATTTTAAATAAAAATTTTAAAAGCAATTACTCGGTTCGCTTACTCTTCTTTTGGTCTATCTCTACCGGTATGTATGTAGCATTATATCATGTGTGCTATGAATACATGGATGTTGAAATGTGTGCCCGTGATAGGGTTAGATATGGGCATGAAATCACGGTACTTTGAAAAATAATTCATGGCAGCTTGAATAAAGTAAACCCTTTTAAAGAAAATCATTGATTGTTAGGTACTTTGATATAGATTTTCTAATATTACTGTTCATGTCTGCTAAAAGACGTAGCATGTCATGTTAAGTATTTAATAGAATCACAAAAGATACGAATATATATGAATGATTAGTATTTAATGTGTTATCTGATCGTCCGTATGCAAATCTTATAGGATGGACAATAGAACGAATACATGAGTTTATATTAGAAATAAATTTATAAAAAAAAATTAAAAATAAATTTTTAAAAATACAAAAATAATTTTTTAAAATTTTAGAAATAACAACTACCTAATCTGTAACCACAAATATATATATATATATATATATAAAAGAATCCAAAGAAAATTTTGAAACTTCACTTTGGGTGTCGGTCTTCAGATATGGGGGCCATTTGGTAGTAGGAACTAGAAGAAAAAAACCTTGGATTTTTCGCCTTCAAATTTCAAAGATGGATATTATCGATGTTTATCATATGATATTTTTAATCAAATTTAATGTGATTTGATTACACTATCATTTATTAAAGTAATAGTTAAGTTATAGTTTGTTTAGGTCTAGAGTTCGAATATCAGTATTTGTAAAGGTATTTGAACGTTCATAATTAAATAGTTTAAAATATTCAAAATAAATATTACCTTACAATTATATCAGTTTAATAAAGAAAATTAAAAAAAATCATTCTATAAAAAGTAAACGATAGAATTTATTTTAAGGTATATGATTTATATTTTTTTTAAAAAGAAAATAACGTCTTATTTCAAGCTATTTATTTACTTAAAAAGAAATTATTGAGTAGGATAGAATTTAATACCATTATAATACTTTTAACATATCTGATTAAAAAAATATAAAATATCAAAACAATATAGTTATTTAAGTAATTTGATGTTTAGAATATGATAGCGAGTTTTCTTTATTTTTGTCAACTGATCAAATATATCTATTCTATTACTCGTTAATTTTAAGCGGCACTGTACATGTAAAATTTCCATTGGTTAAATAAAAGGCTAATTTATGAGTTGCAAAGACTCGTGTGGACCATTAGGACCACTGATTCCATTGTCTTTCTTGTCCAAAAGATTTTACAAATCTTTCCATTTCCATCTTTCTTTTTCTGGTTTTTGTGAATCATCAAACTATTACTAACGGATTGTGACATCCAATGTAGCTGAGTTTTCCTTTTTGATGATTTCAGGACACACTCAAATCCAGTCCTCCGGAGAACAAGTCGATGAAGAGAGCGAGCGGAATCGGTGTCATGACGACCACCTTATTCTACGTACTATGTGGCATTGGCGGATACGCGGCGTTCGGAAACGATGCGCCGGGGAATTTCCTCACGGGGTTCGGTTTCTACGAACCCTTTTGGTTGATCGACTTCGCCAACGTCTGCATCGCCGTCCATCTCATCGGTGCATACCAGGTTTTTGCCCAACCGTTATTCGGCTTCGTCGAAAAGCTGACCACCAAACGTTACCCCGATAACAAGTTCATTACACGCGAACACGCCATCAATGTTCCGTACTGCGGCGTTTACTACCTAAACTTCTTCAGATTGGTATGGAGGACGGCGTACGTTATCGTGACGGCCGTGTTAGCGATGATATTCCCTTTCTTCAACGATTTCTTGGGTCTTATCGGAGCAGGCTCATTTTGGCCTTTGACGGTCTACTTTCCGATCGAGATGCACATCGCGCAATCAAAAATACCAAAGTACTCATTCAGGTGGGTGTGGTTGAAAGTACTAAGCTGGGTTTGCCTGATAGTATCACTCATCGCAGCAGCTGGATCCATTCAAGGACTAATAAACAGTCTCAGGGTTTACAAGCCATTCCAGACACCCAAGGAGTGAGGATTCTTGACCAGATCAGCTTAGGTTAGTGAAATTTCTAACATTGGTCAATAAGAACAAACTTGAGGGAAATGTAATTCTAATGCACTTACACGTGCATTCCAGATTCAAATCTGCTTATATCGTGCTACCTTTTCAATGACAATATTAAATTCAAAAGTTTATGGCATTAGTGCTACCAAACACTTAAAATCAAATCATTAGCACGGAAAAATTAAGGTGACAGTTAAAAAATGTGTATAATTAGATATTTGGTCCTCAATATTTATACATTCTATCAAATTGATTCTAATTGTAATTTAATTTAATAATTTAATCCTCTAATTATAAAGATATGTGTCACCATATGATTGGTGGAAGTAAAACTTATAAAGAAAGGTGCAGGTGAACTGTGCAAGAAACAAAATTGGGTATTGTAAGAGATATAGACGAGCCTTAATTACCGAGCCAATCCCTAAATTTATATTATAGTTAATGCTAGAAAAAAAAACCAAGGTGAGATTCACACCCAAGTAGAAAACTTGGGAGAATCTAAACAACTCAAGCAAATTTAGGGGAGAGCATTCTATTGAATCGATTTAAAAATTTTGAGTTATTCGAGTTGATAAGTCGTATTTTGTAAAGTTAATGGACTAAATAAAAAGAGAGCATATTTTTAGTAAAGAAATAGGGATTGAAGTTATATAGGTATTCTATAGCGGTATAGGAGCATGTGATTCAAATTTGGTAAAAAATGACTTAAAATGAAGGATCAATTGAATAAATAAAGAAATCATGAAAAGTTGAAGGACTAAATTGAAGAATTAAAAAATATCATCAAAAAGAGGAATTGAAAGCACATATGTATTTTACGATGGATTAGGAGCATGTGGTTGAAATTTGGTAAAAAAAAATTGACTTAAAATCAAGGATGAATTTAAGGAATAAGGAAATCAGGGACTAAATTACAAAACTATCAAAATAGTAAGTCAAATTTTAGTTTTTCGAGTAACTCTAAATTTCCAAACTTCAACTCGACTCGAACTCAAAAACCGAATCAATAATTTGAGTTGACTGGAATAACTTGAAATAAAAATGATTTTTCGAGTCGAGTCAAGTTTTACTCACCCTAAACAGATCTAATATTTGGTTAATAATTAGATAGATTCCATATATATTTTATTCTTTAGTTAATACAAGACTAAAAGAAAATTTTAAAATTTTTATAAATTTAAAATTAAATTTAATATTTCTTTTTTATATATTTATAATTCAATAATTATATATATAATCATTAAATTAAAATTTTTAATTTAATTAAAAAATTTAATCTTTTATTAAAAATATATAAATTATTTATATTTTAGTTAATTTCTCTTTTTTTTAATTTTTAAAAACTGTCTTTATCACATACTTTCATCTACATTTATGGTATGTTTTCCTCTACCTTTTGATATATTTTAGGTCTTATTTATTGGTTGTTCTCTTCGTTTACTTTTTTAGGGTTAATTTAACATCACATCGACTAATTAATATGACACTTATTTGTTCTCACGTTAATCTTCTCCACTTTGGTCGTTTGTTGATATAATATAATTTGCTCGTATCGATATTTTGTGCAAGGTTTTTGAGTGGGTTGTCAACTTTTTCCTCATATGGTCATTGTATAATCTCAAATAACTAGTTTATTGCGTCAATGATTATAAGAAATGTCTTAATTATATGTTTAATTTATGTTCACGATTAAATATTTATTATAATTTTGGATGTTTCCTTTTTCTAATAAAACTAACGAATTCTATTTGCATACAATTATAAAGTTAACATTATTAAAATCAACATTAGGTAAATAAGAGATAATTTTAAAAACAAAACCTTTTGTTAGCAAAATTTTAAGATTTAAATTGTACTCATAAGTTTGAATGTGCTAAACGAACTTTTAATATAATTTTAATTTTTAATATATATTATATATAAACATAGAAAAGAAAATATATATATATATATATATATATATAATTAATTTTAAAATATAAGAAAGTTTAAACTCATTTTCTCTTTTAATTTTGTATCAACTAATTAAATATATGCGAAACATATCCAATTATCTATAAACTATTTTATCTATTTGAGAGATTTAGATGATTTTAATTTTTCTATTTGGCCTGGGTTCGAATCCTACCTTGACCATTTTTCTTTCCTTTTTTCTGACATTAATTATAGTATAAGTTATATAAATAATGTCGTAATTCATATCTCAAAATTTGAAACTTGGCTTAGTGGTAATGTGCAACCAGCATGATCTTCAGATGAGTTCCTTCAAAAACCTAGAAAGATTAACAAGTAAAATAAATAAATAAATCAAACTAAATGATAAAGTCGAATTGTAGCAGGCATCAAATGTTACCAGTTTTCAATGGCCAAATAAAAGATGTTACCTTAAATAATTAAATAGTTCAAGCAGATTCAGTCTCACTCATCACAAAGGACCGAACCAACGACTGTGCCGCATGCGTTTGTTCCGGGGTTCCAGATATTGTAATTGCAGTTCCGGTTGCCGCAGGCTAGGGTTCAGTAACTGAAATTTTTGCATCAGAGATCTGCATTATTTTCTTTTTGAGTAAAAATAAGCTCACTTTGCTGCATGATAGAAAAACGAAGCACAGATTCGTCGACATACCTGACGAATCTGTTTTAAACACGCCCCATTGTCTCCGTAAATTACAGGAACGAGGATTCAATAGTCGTGCTTGTGATAATAGCTGGTTGGCTTCTACATATCCACACATTAAAGAGAAAAAAACAAACAAACGAGATGTTGCCATCAGAGAAAAACCTATAAACTAAAACATTCTAACAGCCAAATGTGATTTGGTTTGCCCTCAAAGCCGGAAATTCTTCGGTGGGGAGGTCCAGAAAATTCTTTCAGATACATGAGGAGGCATGCCTGGTTGGTGAATATTGCACATAAAAGGAGGATCATGGGGGTGAAAGCCACCATGCTGAGGTGGGCCACCAAAAGCATCAAAATTCTCTCCTTCCCATAATCGAAGGGAATGGGGGTCCTTGATCCATGAAAGCAGGATTCGGATGATGGTTAACAGAGGGAAATGCATCACGGAAGAAATGATGCCACAGCCTAGATGTTATTTGCAAAATAGCATCTCGAACGGTATCATGGTCTCCATTAATCTGCAATGACAAGAGAAAGAATCAAAGAGAGCAAGAATAACACCAAATTTTCCAAAATTTATAAATCTTAAGAGAAACACAGAAGCAAACCTGAATAATTTCTTCACCATCTGAAGCACATTTCGGAACCTGATATTTTCCCAAAATACGAATATGAGCCCCAGATGACTTCCTCATTTCAGCTATGATGGCACCACCCTTGCCAAGGAGACAGCCAATTTGATTCGACGATACAAGAAGCCTGACCAGCATAGTCTTGTCCTTGCTATCAGGTATCGCCCTATATAGCCTGCCAAGAACACGAAGAACTGCATCTTGTGCAGGTCATATCCTATCATCTGGGTACTGAATTTATTAATTTATCATCAGTCCCATAAGAAACCGCAATACTAATAACCAAACAATAGATCGAATTTTCAAAATCCATTGATGTTTGAACAAATCCAGAGAGCAAATCATACCGCTGGACTAGAAACGATAATCATGCGGTCCTCACAATCAGGAATTAGCTTCCACCACTTTGATATCACAGCCTGTCTCTTGCTTAACAGCCTTAATCATTGCTCCACCCTTTTCAATGACAGCACCAACTTTGTCGTCATGACACAGTAACCGGAATGTTAGCATTTCCGGAGAAGGCATCATTTGCCAGGGATGAGGGGAAGAAGTGAATGAAGTTCAACATCCCGAGGTCCTGCAGCAAATGGTGCTCCTTGAGAACTTAAAGAATGGTTTGGTGGTCGGTGGACTTCAGGCGTAGGAGCAAAAGACTGAGATGACTGTCCAGTTGTGTTGAGAGGAAAAGAATCATGATCCCGAGGTAGATTTTCTATTAGTTGTTGAGAAACGGATTGAAACGCTTTCCTAACTGCATCAAATTCACCTGTAATCTGCAACAAAACCACAGAGCATAAGTCCAAATAAAAGTCCATAACACATCAATAATGCCTATTTTGCATATTTAATCATATGATAAACTGTTATAGTAGAAACAGCACTATAACAAAGTTTAAAACTCAAACAATTGTTCACAAAACAAAACAGGAAACTAAACCATTCACTCACTCATCAAACTGTGACACAATATTTTTTTTTTCTTTTTGCTGTTATTTTCGGGAATGCTGTCACTTAGATACAAGTGCTAACCAGCTAACTCGTTCTCCCCTTTGTGTTTTCCTCACCTTTTTTTTTTTTTTTTAAATAATATTTTTTCTTACAAACATCCATGGTTTTTCATAAATCTTATGTAACGAAAATAACCCAGTTTTGTTTTCTTCAGGTTATTTTTCCACTACTGCAAATTTATGGTTTAAAGTTGAATTTAGAAATCATATTTTGCTGTGTGAAACATTTGTTAACAGTTTGTCTAAGGTAATATATAATAGAACCTAAGGTACCTGAACTAATTCATCTGAAGCTAAAGCACACGCAGGCAGTTTGTCTCTAGGAAGAATTTGAATCTGCGCTCCACTCTCGGCAGTCATTTGCTTAATTACACTGCCACCTATACCAAAAAGGCAGCCAACTTGACCGGAAAGAACAAGCAACCTTAAAACCATCATGAAAGACTTAACAGTTTCCTCGTCAAATCCATCTGAACCTCGATCTGCTTCAATCATTCTTTCAAAAACAAGTAACAACACCTTCTGAACACAAGAAGTTCCATTTACAGATTTTAAACTTCTCACAGAACCAAAAACCTTACTGTTGTTGTTTTCATCATTTTCTTTTTCTTCATCATTCTGGTTGGCTGCATTAGCCTCGTCGCCACCATCCTCCTTACCCTGCATGGTACCAACTTCAGTCTCTTTATCAGAAGATTCAGAACCAGAGATGGCAATTAGTATCTCATCACAACCAGGGACTGCCTCCTCAAGTTTGACATTTGCACCAGTTTCTTGAAGAATTTGTGATACTAAGCTGCCACCTTCGCCAATGAAACTAACAGATTTAGCTTCAGGGCATAGTACACGAAAAACAATACCACTAGGTGAAACT